TATACTTACCCTAAAGTCAGGTACGTGCAATTGGTACGTGACCGTAGACTGTCCGAAATCACCTACCCTAACCGCTATCTAACCAATCACAACTTAATCACGTGATTTTGCACTGTCCCTAAGCACTGTCCGTAGACTTTTCGACGACCTGGCGTAGTCGGTACACGTGCTTAAATGAGTGATATTAATTCATGTTCTTAACAAAGCATAGTAAAATGTCAAAAGAGAAATTTGATTTTGACAACGGTAACGATTTCCTAAGGTCAACAATGCATAAACCCTTAATTGAAAATAAAAAGAAGTGATACGTGACTATTACGTTTGTCAAAAATCGAAGACTGAAAAGCAAGACAATTAAAAAACCAAACTTTATAAAATTATAACTCCCGCAAAAAAAAAAAAAAAAAAAAAAAAAAAGAAAAGAAAAGAAAAAGGAATGGTCAAAAATAAAATGTCAGAATTAAATTCAGACTTACGCTTTTGAGTAATAGCAATCTAAAAAAAAATATGTACTTTCTATATGATTTATATATTAAGTTAAAATTTCTGATTGTCTTCATTTAAAGTCAATATTTCATATACAGTATATCAATCTTATCAATTGATGATTCTCAATAAATGTTTAAAGCTATCAGTTGAAAATTCTAAGACAGGATGCGATCGTTAGACAATCATTCGTGGTTTTCATATGGAAAGAGGATGATAGTCAAAGATTTTAATATATAAATAAATTTATTTTTTTGACAGATAACTTTTATTATCTTTGACATACATCTTTTGTCATCTTTGACAAGACAATGGAAGCAGTATACGCTGTTTTTTATTGTGTCTTTCTATTATGTGAGTAAAAAAAAAAAAAAAAAAAAAAGGTTGAGTGTAAAATTTAGACACTGATTTGTAAAATTCAAGATGTTAAAAGCTTATCGTTATATAAAATCATAATTTGATGAAATTGAAGGCTATAGAATCCCATTCGCCTTTCTATTATACCTCTCGACTCCAACCTACAAACAACGTCGAACGGCACCAAATTTAAACCAAAGAATAGCAGCTGCAGCCATCAAGACAATCGTTGAAACCTTACCATTATGGATGGTTAGATCTATATTCAATTTTACAGGTGTTCTGGAACAAATCGCAAATGGAATGTATGTGGGAGAACAAAGAAATAAATGGTGCCGTAAACTGAAGGGTGGAGATGGATGAGATGGGTATCTGATCGCAGAAGACGCAGAAACAGAAGATGTTGGTGAAAATGCTGACATGGTTATTTTGTATGCACATGGTAAATATTTCTTAGTTTATTGCACCTTTATCGTTATTTTAACACAATCTATGAAACGTTGTAGGTGGTGGTCTTAATGTTGGTGAAGCCTTAATATCACTAGTGGTTTTTGTGAGGTGGATTAAAGCCTGGAAGATTAGTCATGGGGCCAATACGCATATAATATCGTTAGAATATGGTATTATAAAATTTTTAACGTTTCAAATTTCAATTACAATTACGATGTATTTTTACAACGGTAGTTTATCATTATAGGCCTTGCACCGGAACATGTCTTTCCGTCGCACCGTGACAGTATGTTAAAATGTTATCACTGGTTAGTCAACGAAAAAGGAATTAGTCCGTCCAAGATTACTTTGGGTATGTATAAATAGTATTAATCCTATTACGAAACATTATTAATTCTTACATTATTATTAAATTATTAGCTGGTGATAGTGCTGGCGGAAACCTTACTTTGTTAGCATCCTTAGAACTTCTTAATAATCCGACAGCCTACAATGCACCTCTACCATCACGTTTGCTTCTTATCTCACCTTGTGTTTCGGTAAATTACCTTTCAAAATCATTTATCTCTATCGTGATAATAAGATAATAATTATGGTATTACATTACTTTTAATCAATACTGTTATATAATAGGCACTCACTACTTCACATTCATTCAAAACAAATTATGACAATGACTGTATAAGCATGTCTTTGTTCTATGACTGCTTGGAAAACACCCTAGGTCATTATAACATACATCCGACATCCCCTCAAATATCCCCGTTATTCGAACGTCATCTCCGTGGTTTACCCAAAGTGTGGATATGTGTTGGCGGTTATGAAGTATTTCTCGATGACATAGTATCATTAGTGGAAAAGGCTAGAAGTCAAGAAGTCAGTGCAGAACTTTTGATCGAAGAAAATAACATGCATAATTATGCTATTTTGTGGTCTTTATCAAGAAATGGAGGTGCACAGAGAGCTATGAAATATATGTCTAGATTTTTGTATGGTGAACAACCTGTTATTAGTCAAAAAACTAAAGGATGAAACATAAAGATGAAATTTCGGTATTTAAGATAAAAAAAAATTTTTGTTTTATCTTTTATATAGTACTTATTACTTTTCAATTTAAAAATTTGTTCATAAATACTAATTAGATACTTTATTGCAATTAGTTCTATATACTTAATATATATATATATATATTATTTGGTTTAAATAAATGTAATGGATAATTAAACATCTAATCTAATATTTAAAATATATATCGAATATCATTTTCATTTGGTAATACTCATATGAAATGCACTACGAAAATATCTTCGAAATTTCACGCAAAATGCAGAAATGCTAATGTTTAACATTATGGCGGTTTGCAAAAAGGTGTGACCCTGCGATTTCGTGATGCTGATTGTGGAATAATTTCTGAGATTTAGATTTCCTATTGATCATCATTTTCAATCAATGTCTATATTTTTGTGGTTTGTAAAAAGGCACTGTGACGTAACAAAGTTTGGTTGTGTAACCATTATACTTTTGTATAGTGATTTAAGCCACATGATTTTGATCAGCTGGCTTAGCCAGTCGATCAAAACATCGGCTAATGGCTGGCAACTACGGATAGATTAGCCGAGAAACAAAAATTCTGCAGATCGGCCCGAATTATGGGTCGGATTTAGGCCAACATTAAGAAATAACAACAACTAACTGTATTACACCAAAATTATCATCTGGGCAGCTTTACTTAGTGAGTGGGCTATG